GGAAAGAGGAGGTTTACAGCCAGCAATGGGAAGAAGATGCTATTCCTATTTCATGTAATTCATATACTGAATTACTGACTGCTGATAAACGTGTGTTTGTTATAAATCCAAACAGCCAGCTGCCTCCAAATCCAGTTTGTGGATAAAAAAGGTGGGATCTGTTTTGGCTGGACGGGAGCAGATACCAAATCTGGCTTTTAAAGCTCTCCTGTGCATGAACTGGAACTGAGCAGGAGAAAGTGTTCAGTTCTTCCATGCACTCAGCTCCTTCGGCAGCACAGTTGTGCTCCAACCCTGGGTCTGACACCCATCCCTGGGAAAGGAGCTGTGTGTCCCAGGAAAACCCTCCCTGGTGTGAGGGGAGAGGCAGCACCTCCCTGGGTGCCCAGCTGGTTACCTGCAGTGGTGCTTGCGACTGGCGAGCCAGAAGGTGCTGTCGCAGCCGTAGCAGTGCGCGGCCAGGTGATCCGGGAGCCACCGTGTCACCTGCAGGGAACAACAGCCACAGGCATCAAAAGAGGGCACTGAAAACAAACCCATCCTGTCCGTGCTCCCAAAAGCACAGCCAGGCACCATGAGGAGGTGCTTGTTCTGCTGTAAGAGCACAAAGTCAGTGTTTGCAGCAGGTGCAGACAGACAGACACCTGTGAGAGCAGGGACATGGAATTCCCCTCAGACAAGCAGAAATGAAGCCATAAAATCCAATTCCCTTCAGCTACAAGTGAATATTCCCCAGGCTTGTGTCCACCTGAGGCTCCTTACCTACTCCCCCCTACCCAGCTCCCAGAGTTGTGAAGCAGAGGGCTCATAGGCACAGGTACTGGTATGTCAGGTGCGAGACAAGCAGAACACAAGGAAGAGAATTCCTAAGAAGTGGCACACGACCAAAGGCTGGAGATAATTTGCTTATGAGTATCCCAGAATGAGCAGTTTACAGGGATTTAGTCTGTACCTCTGTGTCCTGTTTATCCACCTGTTCCCAGCTGGCTTCAGAGAAAATCTCTGTGCTGCAGCGAGACAAGCAGTTCTGATCCAGATTGCTTTCCGAGTCGGGGATAGACGTCTGTTGGCAAACAAACACAGCTGAA